GTGAGAGACATTTTGGGTTGGCACTCTCCAGTTGTCATTGCTTCAGATTGTGGACATGCCATAGTGGCACAATTACATCTGCAAGCATTTTTGCAAGTAGTATTATTAGTTCAATTATATTAAGTGCACAAAGACACAAAAATACTATAAAGGAATTATATTAAAGCCAGAATCTGACCTGAAAAATCGACAAATCACTCTCTTTTTGTTTTCTCTTCAAACGTCTAGATTACAGTTTCCACAGCTCTGGCTCAGAAATGGTGTGTGTGTGTGTGTGTGTGTGTGTGTGTGTAAATCAACATAAAATGAGTTATATTAAAAATACAACAAAATTAAAATTGAATGAAAATGTCAATTGTAAAACTACATTAAAACTATTCATAATATGTTTTTTGCTTCAGTTATTAAAAACTAGGGCTGTGCAATATATCGAAATATCGCAAATGTACATATCGCAATATGCATATCGCTACAGCTTGCAATATTTGGGGCCATGAACAAAAGACAAAGAGAAAATCACTCACTGCTCTTACCTAAATAACTTTTGTAGCTTAAATAAGAATCAGTGCATATTGAATTCAAAGAGGAAACACTAAGCCGTGTTTTATTTTTCCTTTTTATTATTCAGTTCCTAAACTCATGTTAAAATTATTGCACTAATGTTAAAATGACATTTTTATGTAATGCTCGAGTAAAACTACCATTCACTTTCAAAAGTTGTTGTAGGGGTGCGTTCTTATTAGAATCAGAATCGGAATGAGCTTTATTCACCACTTAAGTGTGCGCAAACACAAGGAATTTGTTGTGGTTTTACAGGAACTCTTGGTACATACATACATACAAAAACTGTTTCATTTGAGCATGTGGCACTTTAAGCATTATCGTATCGCATATCGAATATCGCATTATTTAATGAGTTATTGCATATTGCATTTTTCTTCAATATCGCACAGCCCTATTAAAAACCCATCCAAACATTACATTTTATATAATTATATAAAACACACACACACAATCAGACACACTTTTCAGTATTGAGTGCTGTGTGCATATCCTCTCTAACATTTATCATTTTATCATTTGCAGCTATTCTCACATAGTTTAAATTTCATCACGGTCAAGAAGGAGTGCCATCAAGGTCAAGGTTGGGTTTGCAAAATTGGCTGATTGTGACCACAGGATGCCAGATTGGGGGAAAATCTGTGGCTGTTAATTTAGCTGTTACATCCCAAACCATTTAAAAAAAGGTGTTTTTGAATAAAACAGTGCTCCAATTAGATATGCTTTATTAGTACTTACAATTTTCTGTATGCCCTCAGATAGAGTTTGAGGATATGTTTTTTGAACTGAGATTTTAAAAAGTGGTGCATAAAAATAGAAACTTCTGTAAAGATGTAGGCCTTCACGTCCAATTCTCATCTGAAGAGAGCTATTATATGGTCAGCACTAATACTTATATATAATCTCTGGCCTACATTAGAAAATTGTCTAGAAAGTAAGTGGGTCCACAACATAATTAGCCTAAGATTTTGTAATATTTTTACAACAATGACACATCTCATAACACGTCTTAATAAACATTTTGGTTTTTCTATAAAATATCAGTCCTTTTTTTTTTTAAATCTAGTTCATTCCGAACCACATGCTTGAGATTCTAAAATGTAATACCCAGCACTAGGACCATGGGGTGACCCAGTAACGTGCCTCTATTACAATGTTGCTGTGGGGACTGGAGGTGTGGACTGTTGAGTCACCAAAACCTGAACTGTCACCACAGAGCAGACAGCAGAGAAATGGGTGCTAAAAGAGCAGTTTGTGCATGCGTGTTGTGCTTTAAAGGGTCACTGAGCTTTCAGGATCTCAAGAAACACCCCTGGGCTCCTGAGACACTGCTGGGCAATGACACATTAGGATGCTGGGCAGAGATAAGGATATTAGTAGAAGGGTCAAGTCTTGATTTTTTTTATGGGGACTTATATGCTCCACTGCATCTTACACATATTATTACCCCATTTAAAAGGGTAAGCATTACACAACTCTTTTGGGGGATAGTTTGACCTCTGGCCCCTACATTAACACTGAGAGGAAACACTAAGCCGTGTTTTATTTTTCCTTTTTATTATTCAGTTCCTAAACTCATGTTAAAATTATTGCACTAATGTTAAAATGACATTTTTATGTAATGCTCGAGTAAAACTACCATTCACTTTCAAAAGTTGTTGTAGGGGTGCGTTCTTATTAGAATCAGAATCGGAATGAGCTTTATTCACCACTTAAGTGTGCGCAAACACAAGGAATTTGTTGTGGTTTTACAGGAACTCTTGGTACATACACACAAATAACCATATATATATATGACACAAGATAGTTATAGAAGTTCACAGAACTGACTCAGCAACTGTAAAACTGTTTCATTTGAGCATGTGGCACTTTAAGCATTATCGTATCGCATATCGAATATCGCATTATTTAATGAGTTATTGCATATTGCATTTTTCTTCAATATCGCACAGCCCTATTAAAAACCCATCCAAACATTACATTTTATATAAAATAAACCAACACACACACACAATCAGACACACTTTTCAGTATTGAGTGCTGTGTGCATATCCTCTCTAACATTTATCATTTTAGGATTTGCAGCTATTCTCACATAGTTTAAATTTCATCACGGTCAAGAAGGAGTGCCATCAAGGTCAAGGTTGGGTTTGCAAAATTGGCTGATTGTGACCACAGGATGCCAGATTGGGGGAAAATCTGTGGCTGTTAATTTAGCTGTTACATCCCAAACCATTTAAAAAAAGGTGTTTTTGAATAAAACAGTGCTCCAATTAGATATGCTTTATTAGTACTTACAATTTTCTGTATGCCCTCAGATAGAGTTTGAGGATATGTTTTTTGAACTGAGATTTTAAAAAGTGGTGCATAAAAATAGAAACTTCTGTAAAGATGTAGGCCTTCACGTCCAATTCTCATCTGAAGAGAGCTATTATATGGTCAGCACTAATACTTATATATAATCTCTGGCCTACATTAGAAAATTGTCTAGAAAGTAAGTGGGTCCACAACATAATTAGCCTAAGATTTTGTAATATTTTTACAACAATGACACATCTCATAACACGTCTTAATAAACATTTTGGTTTTTCTATAAAATATCAGTCCTTTTTTTTTTAAAATCTAGTTCATTCCGAACCACATGCTTGAGATTCTAAAATGTAATACCCAGCACTAGGACCATGGGGTGACCCAGTAACGTGCCTCTATTACAATGTTGCTGTGGGGACTGGAGGTGTGGACTGTTGAGTCACCAAAACCTGAACTGTCACCACAGAGCAGACAGCAGAGAAATGGGTGCTAAAAGAGCAGTTTGTGCATGCGTGTTGTGCTTTAAAGGGTCACTGAGCTTTCAGGATCTCAAGAAACACCCCTGGGCTCCTGAGACACTGCTGGGCAATGACACATTAGGATGCTGGGCAGAGATAAGGATATTAGTAGAAGGGTCAAGTCTTGATTTTTTTTATGGGGACTTATATGCTCCACTGCATCTTACACATATTATTACCCCATTTAAAAGGGTAAGCATTACACAACTCTTTTGGGGGATAGTTTGACCTCTGGCCCCTACATTAACACTGACTAAGGCAAGCAATTCACTAAAAACCACTCAAAACACCTAAGAAACTGCATTGGAACCACCTGCCTACCACCTACAACTCCCATCTCAGCAGCCAGTTTTTATGGACAAGAACCAGCTATCTAGTCACACTGATTCTAGCTGATGCATCACAAATTATCTGAACCACTTGGAAAGACCAGCAATTAGAACCCACATACAGAGACAGATTTCACTGTAAATGCCCCATAAATTAAATGAATGGCCCTTCCAGATAGCAGGCCGTGAAGGATCCAAAGATCAGGTTCTCCTGTTCTGTTGGGCCATCACATAGCCTACTTTCGCAATTTCTTGCTCTTCTATCTAATAAATACAATATCCATAGTGTCTGCATCATCAATTAATGTAATTTACTCACTAAGCCTTGTGTTGGTGCTGTCCACTCTGACACAGATTAAATGCTGACTGCGTAAAACCATTTGAGAGACATAGCATGTGCTCAAGAGGATAAATGTCTTAACGAGGATGCCATAATTCAGTATTAGATCAAATGCAGGTGTTTTATGTGCAAAGAGTGTGTGTTTTTAACACAGAGAGATGAGCAATGACCTAATCATCCAATCAAGTAGGATTTGGGCACCTAATTGTACTATAAAATGAAAGAGATAAGCGAAAGAAGCAGACATAAAAATGAAACAAATGGATGAAAAATCTGCTGTGAGGCCTGTCCTGCAGAATACAGATCAGGTAAACAAAACCACCAATGCATTCAGGGTGAAAGGTTTATTATGAGCCGCTGCATATATGTTCCTATCAGACTGAAGGTGAATGCTCTGAATATGGAAATCATCTCAGTTATGCCCGGACAGCCTTGACAACACAGCCAGGCACTGCTTTTTGGAATCAGAGACATTTAATCTCATTCATAACAGACAGTGTAGATGCATGAAACCATTTGTAAAACCTTGCATAGCACCCTTGCAGAAACATCATATCAGAGACCCTGCCTCTGCTTCAACGGGCGAGCCCCTTCCCCCTCACGCGCGCCACAGCCCAGGCGAGCGCGAGACACCGATGCCCGCGACATCACCATAAACTACTGTCAACGTGTCAAATAACGCACTGGCTCCTTTTAATAAAACACTTGAAAATGATAAACAGTAAACCGACTGTATGTCAACAGAATGACACCGTTATAGGAAGACACAGCATTACAAGCAACATCCTGGGGAACAGCCAATGAGAATTATCCACCGGTTTTTACACCATAAGACTATTGGGGAATTATTTCACACATACAGCGCACAATCTATTATTTTTGCATTGCACATAAAGCACAACAGATGAAATGCCACGTTCCCTCGTTAGAAAATGAGCCCACCTCTGCGAAGAAGGTCTCCATCTTCCCTCAAAGGCTGCAAGAGGATCCAGCTAATCAATCACAAAACTGTAAAGGATTCGAGAAACGTTTGACAAGATGTATGTCTGCTCTGCAACTGCTTTCCATTCACGAATGTTTACGAGGAGCAGGGCGCCGCAATCCTGCGTGAGGTGGCAATTCAAACAACTGATGGCGCGACAAGCGGCCGTTGGCAAATAACAGCCGGTGGGAAAAGAAAACGCTCAGGTGTTTGGTTTCTGTAAGTGTCTTTTTTATTTAATCGAAACGCCGGTGTCCAAACACATGCCTCGCTGACTCCGGTGTCTGCACCAGAGCGAATGAGCCAGTGTGCGCTCGCGCATCTCCGGTTGGGCGGCGCACCGCGCGCAAAGACAGCCCCCCCAAGTTCACCTTTTTTTTTTTTTTTTACCATGCATACCGGTAGTAAGATGACAGAAATGTGCATCGCGGAAATAAACATGACATATATTTCAGCTACATTCTGAATCTACAATAAAGCAAATGGTATCTGATAATCAGTGCGTTGGGATGCGTCAAGCGTGACACACAAGATGAAACACGAATGCGGTATGGATCTTAAATACAGTGCACTATTGAGCAAGATTCATTATCTGAATGATCTGATCAGAAATCCCATGTGCTGGATGTGGTACTGATGCCCCTCTGATGGGTTTCCATGGTAGCACTACGGACACATATTTCTGCATGCGCCATGCACATCTGAAGTGAGACTCATGCAGTGGGTGGAGTAGAGCAGATTCACTCATCAATACACATTTATAGAAGGTGTCGCAGTGTCTGCAGGCTTATTACTCCGAAAAACAAGTTCATATCTGCAGCATCTTGAAACTGCATAAAGTGGCAGTTTGGTTACTCTGCATGAAAGTTAAATAAAGCAGATGGTGGATGTATTAAATCATTAAACTCTTATCTCTCACAGCTTGAGAAACAAAAATTGTAATCCGGATTCTGTAACCAACACAGAACAGACACTGGTGAGCTAAGAAGAACAGTCAAATTGTTTAGTGTCAGTGACAAATAAGGATGTCCAAGATTTCAACTATTTTAAAATGCACATGCATATTAAAAAGTTTTGTAGATGTACATGTAAGTGCATGTAATCATTAGTTTAATAATAAAAAAAGCTTTTGAAATATTTTACAATATAAAAAGCATCATATAACTAACTCTATCATTAAATGGCTATATGATTTTAAGAGACTTGAACACATAGTGAACACAGTGCTTTTTTAAAACATGTTTATAATAGACAAAATGTGTTCTAGTATCTTGGTATAATGTGTTTAGTGTGTTTTTTTTAATGAATGTTTAGGTACAAGCACAACAAAATGTTCAGTTAAGGGACACAAAGAGCAGGTTTTCCTGTTGAGTTACGAGCCATTTGACTGACACTTTTCATTCAACACCTAATAGCACACTAACTGCAGGAACAGCTTCCCTGGAGCAATGTGGCACTGCATGTCATTCCCAGATGTAAAATACTACATTTATTGAGTGTTATGATGAGCACTGGGTTACCACTTCCAGGAAATGAACTTATGACATTTATGCCAGACTTTAACTGTTCATGTACTGTTTCTGCCAGGGGTTTTCAACAGCTTATTCTTCTTAAATTATGGGGTTCTACATATATACACAGACAATCTTTTTTCTTTTGGTCAAAATGAACATCTTTGAATACTTTAATTATTTTTCCGTACCCTATTTGAATATGTGTCTTTAGCACTCTAAAAAATGCTGGGTTGTTTCAACCCAACTTTGGGTCAAATATGGACTAACCCAACCATTGGGCTAAATTTTTACATTACATTTTTAACCCAAAAGTTGGGTTAGTCCATATTTGACCCAAAGTTGGGTTGAAACAACCCAGCATTTTTTAGAGTGTAGACTACTAAAATTCTGTGCCTCCAGCTAAATGTAACTTGTAACTGTTCGACAGGCTAAAAAAATCAACAGTTTCAGATTCAGAAGGTGTCAGATGAGAAAAGTCTCAGATGATATTCATGACACGCAAGTATGCCTCATCAACAGTACAAAAAAGTATTAAGTATGATTTATACATAGTAGTATGTGTGCTCGAGTCAGATGTACACTAAAGATTGATGTCTGTATCATCTGACAAACAGAAGCTGTGAAGACAACAATGTGAAATCCCTGTGGTCACATACATCACCATCAATGAAAGCCATGCTCATTTTACACCCTAAAGCCCCCCCCCCCCCAAAAAAAGTGAGTGGCACCACTCACTTATGGTCACCACTTATGGCTTTTGGTCATTTGGGAGAAAAGAGGATGAGGTTCACATAATTTTTTGCGACTTTATTTCAGGTGCTCAGATATGTGGAACCTTCTTTCTGTCATGAGATAAAAAATAAATAAGGTAATTGCAACTTTTTAATCTCACATTTCAAATTTTATATCTCACAGTTCATACTTTTTATACATTTTTATACACAGAATTGTGAGACAGACATTAGAATTATGAGATGTTAACTCTCAATTGTAGGTTTATAATTTGCAATTCTGAGAAGAAATTCTTATTTGAGAAAAAAAAGAATTGCAAGATATCAGCTGCAATTGTGTATTTACGTTTTGTCATTTACATTCTTCTCTGAATTGTGAGTTTACATCTCGCATTTCTATATCATCATTTTATCATTAGAATTAGGAAATATAAACTCACAGTTGCAAGAAAAAGTCAGAATTGTAAGATAAAAAGCAATAAAAAATATATTTATTCCATACTGAAAACGGGGCTTCCATACTGATAGCATTAGTATTGACACTGAGTTTTCTGACAAAAATAAATACATTTATGAGCATCCATTTATGCTTGCCAAAACTATCCACTCATGTGATGGCAAGAAGCATGTCTGTGCTCCAGACGGTCAGACTATAGAGCCCAGATGCAGCTTAGTCTACCCAAGTCTGAGCCTCCCCTTCCCAGGCCTCTCTATTGTATCCTCATGCCTGTCACTGGAGGCCCTGGATGTTTTAGGGACCTCCTTGTAAGCGGTGTAGACTGCAGCACACTCTTGCAGTCGCCTCTTTGTCTCCTCCAGCCCTTTATTCCTCGCCTCCCGTTGTGGGACACGGGCTGGGGTCACACCACTGTAACAGAGCCTCACGTTCAGAGGAAGCTTGTCTCTTTTGTTCCATCCTGCTGAATGGGGCTGCTTTATTTTTAAGTGTTGGAGGCAGTTCCACATGGTTCCCCCTACTATCATCACTCTCCCACTGTGACAACTCAATTCAACATGAAAAGGCTTCACTTCTTAATCATTCTCCTGATGCTTTGCTTTCAACAAGCATGTGTTGCATGATGCTCATAAAGTCCACTAAAACAGTAAAACAATAAAACTACAAACTGGGGAGCAAGATCCAGTTGATAGTGCTCCAGGCTCAACTCAGATGAGCAAGAGACAGAGAAAAGTAGAAAACTGAGAGCCGTATACCAAAAGTGTACTTTGGAATCAAATGTCATTTTAATGTGACATCAATCGGACTCTCAGGGTGATGTCACTGTAAGTGGATAGACAGATGAGAAAAATTTGATACACTAAATGACAAGCCCTGCGGTTGGACCATCACAGATGTGTAATAGGACCAGATTACATTTGCAGGGATTGTAGGGTTGTGCATCATTTAGAATTTAATTAACAATTCTTTTAAATTCCACATACTTTCAAATTGAATGTAGAAAATTGAAAGCAGAATTTAGATTGAATAATTAGAATTTAAATTGTTAACAATTATTTTAATTGAGAAAATAATTTAAAATTAAAGTAAACATAGAATACAGAATTCTAATTTAAATGTCTAGAATTAAAAGCGCAAACAGCATGAAACAATTTCAATTTACATTAGATGATTTTTATAATCAATGCTTTAAATTCCACCTATAGAAATTTGTATTAAGCAAGAACATTTACATTTTTTATTTAATAGAAAACCTACGTTTACTTTTAAAAATGAAATGTAATTTAAATTTCTAAAATGAAAATGGAGTAAACATAAAACATATACACATAACATAATTTTAATAATCAGTGTTTCAAAATGACACCTATACAGTAGAAATGAGTTTTTACTTTATGTAAACATTACATAAGTAAGACCCTTTACATGTATATATAATTTAATAGAAAACATGTTGCATAAATCCCTGTTTAATGATTGAATTGATTTGAATTTAAATTATTTAAATTACAGTACATTCCTCTTTTCTGATTCAAATTCCAATTCAACATCTTGTAGGTGTGGCCAATTAAATTCCAATTCCAACTTGTTAATTGGAAAAGGAGTCATTCTGAATTTTGCCTAAAAATAGTGGAAAAACAGATTTGAGGCTTGACATGTTTGTGAAGCAAAAGACAAAGAGACAAAGACAATCGTCATAGCATCTTGGGCACCACTGACAAGTTATGTAACCATAACAACCACGTTGCTATGCCAATAAAATAAGTATTTTGTTTTGTTTTTTTGTAATGGGGCTGTGATGTTGACTTGAAGTGGCAGTTTTCAGGTATGAAATGTTGTTGATGAAGGGAGGATTTATTTTCTGTTCTACCGTTCGACTGTCCAAGGTTCCATCCGAGTCACTGCAGGGATGGATTATAGAATTTGTTTCAGTTTTGCAGCCCCATTGAGTTCAGACCAATGGGTTAGGTACCAACACCATTCCAAAGAATGGTGGCATCTGAATAACCCAACTCAGCAATTGGTGCAAGCAATGAGTTGAGAATCAGTTAAACAGCCACAATCTTTTCTGCTCTCTTAAAATCCATTCAGGTTTGAACCTTCTCACTTGAAAATGCCCTCTCCTTTCGGCAGCCCGACGTTTTAGTGCTGAATCAGAAAGTAGTAAAGAAAAACTTGTCGATACTGTTGTTATCATTTGGTGAGAAACAAACAGATTAGTGTCAATCAAAGACACTAGCCAATAGCCATCACCATAAATCCCTCTGATTCAGTGAATAAAGAGAGGCCTTCGTGTAATGGGATTTTCCTTGATTTGTCTACGGCAGAATAGGAACAGATTATAATCTTACTGCACCCCATGTAATATAATATCGCTCTCACTCTCCTAGTTCTGTTCAAAAATTGAAATAGCAATGCACACAATTCTGCAGGTTTGTTTTTGTTGAATTACCTAAGATCAGTTGCCTGCAGATCTGTTTATCTCCCTGTGACAATGGTCAAAAAAGACACATTCAGGTATAGGTTTAGACAGAGCACTCTCATGTACATTCATTCCACATGAGAGTACACGAGAGTAGGCGGTTATCA